CACACCTGTAGTCCCAACGCTTTGGGAGGCTGCGGTGGGAGGATTGCTTGAAGCAGGGAGTTTGAGACCAGCCTGGCCAATATGGTAAAAACCCTGTCTCTACTAAAATTACAAAAATTAGCTGGCTCTGGTGGCAGGTATCTGTAATCCCAGCTACTTGGGAGGCTGAGGCAGGAGAATCACTTGAACCCAGGAGGCGGAGGTTGCAGTGAGCTGAGATCACGCCATTCCACTCTAGCTTGGGTGATAGAGCAAGACTCTGTCTTCAAAAAAAAAAAAAAAAAAAGGCCGGGCGCGGTGGCTCAAGCTTGTAATCCCAGCACTTTGGGAGGCCGAGGCGGGTGGATCACGAGGTCGAGAGATCGAGACCATCCTGGTCAACATGGTGAAACCCCATCTCTACTAAAAATACAAAAAATTAGCTGGGCATGGTGGTGTGTGCCTGTAATCCCGGCTACTCAGGAGGCTGAGGCAGGAGAATTGCCTGAACCCAGGAGGCGGAGGTTGCGGTGAGCCGAGATCGCGCCATTGCACTCCAGCCTGGGTAACAAGAGTGAAACTCCGTCTCAAAAAAAAAAAAAAAAGGTAGAAGGCTGCTCCATCTGGACTCTGCCCTGGCACCTCTCTGGACCCTGCCCGCTGTCATTTGGGGAAACAAAGTCCTGCCTTGGTCTCCTAAAGTGCTGGGATTACAGGCGTGAGCTACCACACCCAGCCAGCCTTCCTCTTACTGCCCAGACAGATGCATAAGGAGCCAGGCCGCCTTCCAGATGTGTGGCCTTGGGCAAGCTATTTGATACCCCTGCGCCTCCTTTCCTCACCTGTAAGAGGGGGATGGTGACAGTTCCCACTTCGTAGGGATTCAATGACTAATGCGTCTGGCAGTGCGTGTGGCGTAGTAAGCAGGTGGTGCTATGCGTGGTCATCAGCATCCTCATCTCACCTGAGTTTCCCTGTGGAAAACCCTCGGCTATTCAAAATCAAGGCCTTGGCCCTTGCCCCTTCCCCTGAACCAAAATGTGCCTTCCTCAGCACTGTGTTCCCTCCCGGGGTCCTGACTACTCTCATTGGTGGCTTGTGATGTTTCTCTGCAGGCCAGCGCTTCTGCCGGACTGGGGGCTTCCTGGGGGCAGGGTGAGGTTGTCCTCTCTGAACCCTCCACTGTACCGGCTGGGCACTGCTCCGCATGTGACCCTCTAGAGGCCTTTGGTGTTGGATGTCGGTGGAAGGGAAAAGAGGGAAAGAGGAATGGGAGGAGGTGTTGTGGGTTAGTGCCACCCCAAAGCTGAGCTGGTGGAGGGTGGAGGCAGAGCCAGCCCCAGAGGTCTTGTCTTGTGTGCTGGGCTCTGCCCTAGCTCCCGAGAAAGTCACCTTTGTCTTCTGGAATGCACTGCGTTCAGCATGGTCTTCAGTGAAGGCCTCTGGGCCTCCTGATTTGCAGGGACCCCCCCATACTCAGCATGCTCCCCATTTATTGCCTCCCCCAGGGCCAGGATTCTCTTCCTGCTCCAGCTGCTGGCCGACCACGTCCCTGGCCTTGGCCTGGTCACAAGTAAGCAGGGGCAGGGATGTGATGACTGTCGCGTTGGGAGTCACATGCATGCCGCATCTCCCTGACTTCTCTCTCCTTGCAGTTTGATTCTTGGCACAGTCAGGAGAGGAGGTCGGGAAGTCAGGACTGGGTGGGACTGCCCCTGGGCATAGGCCAGGGTGACCAGAGGAGCCAGGGTGGCTGGAAGGAGGGTGTCCCGTGGTGGGGGGACTGTTAGACCACATCGGCTACCAGCTTTTTTCTGGTCACAGTTTCCTGGAGCAATAAGGGTCCATCTCATCTGGGGGGTTTCAATGGCAGAGAAAGGGCCCACCAGGCTGCTGAGATCCTAGTTGGGTGACTTGGACCTGACTCAGGCCCATCAGTGCCTCCCCTGGATGAGCTTCTTTAGGCCTGAGGGTTCTCGTCTATAAATGAGGCCAGAGTCCCCTGTGATGCTGCCTCCCTAGGGGTGGGGCAGGGAGGCCAGTGCGGCTCCTGGGCCGCAGGTGTGAGGTGCTGTGTGTGGTGCCACAGCGCAGATTGGGGTCTGGCCGGCCCTGATGTGTCCCTCTCCCACTGCAGGGCCGCTCATGGATTACTTGCCCACCTGGCAGAAAATCTACTTCTACAGTTGGGGCTGACAGACCTTCCGGAAGCAGGGTGTGGGGAGGAGCGAGGCAGGGGACCCTCCTTCCCTAATAAAACTGACTCTGGCAGCGTCCCAGCATGCGTGCGGCCTCTCTGTGCCCACTGGCCAGGACTGGCACACAGCCTTGGTCGCCACCAACACTCCTCCCAAGATCCCCTTGAGTGCACCCTCCTGTGATGACACCACTGCAGCCCACGCCTTGTCACCGCTGGGCCAAGAAGCCTCCACTAGGAGTGGGATCCAGGCTCGTCTCCCAGAGAGAGCGGTGCCTTCACTTCATGGTGCACGGGAAGCCGCTGGCTCTGGCAGCCAAAGGAGTGAACGCTGCTGTGCTCTCGCTGCCCCTGGTGGGACAGGAAGGCTGAACCTGGGCGAGGGCTGACCGCTGCCCAGTGTGTCTTCTGGCCAGGGCCCCCGTATGCCCCTTCTCTGCAGGGCTCTGGCACCCCAGGCCATGGCATTGCCAGCCTCCCTGCGACAGAGCCTGGTGAACAGTGAGCCCGGCTCCCACACAAAGTGGCACCTTAAGCCCTCATCCTCGGTTGAGAGTAAAAGGCTTTTCTCCCATAGGAGGAGAATGTCCAGCACCGGCCGACACTAGGGAGGGAGTGGGAGCCGGACAGGCTCGGGGAGAAAGCCAGGCCAGTTCACCGGGTATGAGCTGCGGTTCCCCACACTCACCCTGCCGGCTTCAGAGCCCCGGTCCACCTGGAGCCGTGCGGGCTGCTATGGTGGGAGGGCCTGGACAGAGTGGGCCAAGGGCTAGTCTGTCTCTCCCTGACCTTAACCTGTCTTCGGCCACTGGCCCTGTGAAGAGCCAGCCACTCCTGCCAGAGTTTCAAACCCAGAGAGAGGGCTCCATCAGCACCCGCGTGCTCCATGCCTCAGACACTCCCAGATACCACTTTCCCCAGGGGCCTCTGAGGAGCACCCCCCAGATCCTCGCCCACAGGCAGGGGAAGGGGCTGCCCTGGCTCCCCCGGACTTCAGCTTAGTGTATCAGACGTTTCTGGGTGCATGCCCCATAGCAGGCTTGCACCATGTGCCCATCAGAAACCTGCAGTGAAGCTACAGCTCCCCGACGGTCACCTCCCACTCACTCACAGAGGAGACAGGCTTGTGGATGCAGGTGCCACACTGGGGGCATGGTAGGAGGGGGTGTGTCCAGAATGGGGCCTGGCTTGGGCGTGGCCCGGTAGTGGTGACTGCCTGCCAGAGGTGAGGGGTTTCATCAGGCTTCACCGGCGAAGCCTTGACTCAGCTTGAAACAGGTACAACTGTTCAGTTTTTCCGTAGGCAGCCTGCCTTGGGTCACAGCTGTGTGGAGCCATGGGAGGTGGGGCTGGAGGCTGGAGGGGAAGGTCAGGGCCACGCTGAACACGGCATCACATACCCAGAGGAGAAACTTGGACCTCGTCTGGCAGGTGGGGAGGGGCCTGTGTTTGTAAATACTCCAGCAGCCGTGTGGAGGATGCTTTGGTGGGCAGAGGTGGAAGGATGGGGCGGTGACACTGGAGGCAGGGGTCTGTAGCAGTGGGAGTGGCAATGGCAGTGGCAGCAGAGATTAGGGGTCACCCCAGCTAGTCTTGGGGACTGGCATGGAGGAAGAGGGTGGTGTCTAGGAGTTGAGGAGCGGGAAGGACAAGCGGCTTTGGGGTCAGGCAGAGCACACGGAATTTCCAGGTTCCTGGCAGGGCGAGCCTTGGTGGACACAGGATGCTGAGGCGGGCTTGTGGGGGACATGTCTCCAGGACTTACAAAGGGACGTGACTGACCACTGGGAAGTGGGTGCAGGTGTAACACACAGGGGGTGACGGGTCTGAAGGAACCCCCAGAACTTGTCAGCCTCTAGGGTAGTTAGGACCAGGAGCATGAATGAGACCACTGGAGGAGCCAGGGTTGGAAACAAGGGGCTTCCCTGCTGGACTCCTCAGTGGTCACAGTCAGCAGTTGGCCATCTCAAGCAAAGCTTCAGAGCCCTGGGCTCGGACTTCAGGTTTTGATATGACAGATCTGACTGGGGCCAGGGGTTTTGTTTTGAAGGCTTTTGGTGGTTCTGGTGAATGAGGTTTGCACTGCACGCATTAAGTGGGCTGGGTCTGGCTGCTGAGCGGAGAACCAGGAACCAGCCAGAGGCCTTCCAGTGGCACCTGCAGCTGAGCCCAGGCCTGCAAGGATGGGGTGTCCAGCACAGGGTCGAGCTGCACTTGGTCACTCGGCACCATCCAGGCTGCAGAGTCCGGTGAACCAAGCCCTCCCTGCCTTTCCGATGCCTGCACTCGAGGGGCAGCTCCAGAGCTCTGCCACCATGCCTGGAAGCCCTCCATCCTGCCTGAGGCTGCTTTAAGCTGCAGGGAGTGGAGAGGGAGAGGCCCTGAGACAGTGGGACACGGGGACCCTGAGCTGGGCAGGGTTGAGAGACCCACTCTGGGCTTCTCAGCTGCCAGGACCTGCCCTGGGCTCCTGCCATGCCAGCAGGTGTGGACTGGTGCGGGGAGGCTGTGGGAATGGCTGGGGCTCTGGGTGGTGAGGATCCCCTGCCCTCTTCGGAGGGCCTACCGTATGCCAGACGGTAGGGTGTGTTACGGACTTTACTTCCCAGATGAGTGAGCTTAGGCACACACAGAGGGAGTGACTCGTGCGGCTAGCAAGAGGCAAGGTCACAGGACCTGAGCTGAGATCTGACTCCACAGTGTGTGCCCTTATTCCCTGGGCAGCAACATTAGAACAAGATCCGGTTTAGCACCTATTAGCCAACGGCATCAATAAGAACAGAAGCCTCAGTGCGGACGTCCCCGGCCCTGCCCTGGAGCCGGTGCTGACACGGGCCTGGAATGAAGGCCCTTTGTGAGGTGGCCCTGGGAGCTGGCAGCAGGTTCCGTCCTGCCAGGAGAGGGACAACAGGAGCCAGGACCTGTGTAGAAGATGGTTCTCGCCATGCTGGGAGCTCTGCACCCCCGGGCTGGGCTCAGCCTCTTCCTCCTCCACCTCCTCCTGGCAGCAGCACTGCTTCGCTCCCAGCCTCTGAGGTACCTCTTGGGGCAGAAGGGTGGGGCACCGGGGGCTGGGCAGCAGAGGGGCTGCCCTTCCCTCCCTGGAGTGGGGCTGGCCCTGTTACCCTGGATGTGGGAGGGCTTGCCAAGTACTCCCACACTGGGCCATCTCCCTATTCACAAGGAGGTGCCAGTGGCCTTCAGGGCCAGGGCCTGAGCACCCCCACATCTCCCACAGGTCTCAGCGGTCTGCTCCCGAGGCGTTCTCTGCCCCCCTGGAACTCTCACAGCCATTTTCCGGCCTGGTGGATGGTAGTATCTCTCTTCCCCTTCCTCTGCCCCTCCCTGACAGCGGAGACCCCCTAAGAGTGCCCAGGCCCAGCCTTCAGGGGCTTGTCATCCCAAACCAGGGTGACTTCAGTCCCATCAGAGCCGGCGGCCACCCTTGCCCTCTTTTCTGTCTTTAGACTATGGCGTCCGCCCCAAGCACCCATGGCCGAGAGGGCCTCGACCCCTCCTGTCCCGGGCCCAGCAACGCAAGCGGGATGGGCCCGACATGGCCGAATATTACGATGATGCCCACCTGTGACCCCAGGCCTTCATAAAGCTATTCCGCGTGGCAAAGGCTTGGCTTTCCTGGGCTGGGGGTGAGACAGGCATGGGAGGGGTCCTCGCAGATACAGCCACTGCAGTCCAGACAGGAAATGGCACTTTAATAGTTGGGGCCAGGGTGACAGGGCCAAGATGGGGCTGGTCTGGGTCCGTCAGGAAGCCTCCCTCTCCTGCTGGGACAGGGCCTTGCAGCAGCTCCACCTCCCCACTGAGTTCCTAGGCCTGCCACAGGCCAGCATGTTGGTGAGGTCAGTGGCAGGAGCCACCCAGAGGCCCCGCAGATGACGGAGCTGAGAACAGGACTTCACCTCCACATGTTGCCATTTCCTCACTGGAAAGTCCTTGGGAGGCGGCTGGGCTCAGCCTGAGCTCAGGACTGTTCGGTGGGGGTTGGGACACGGGCTTCATCAAGGCAGGAGCCAGAGCGCCTGAGCCCTGGCAGGGGAGGTAAGGCCCAGGATGGGGCAGCGCCGTGTGCTCGTGGAACGGACATCTTTCTCTGCCAGAGGTCTGTCCCCCAGCCCTGCCCCCTCCCGATCCCCAGACAGCCCACTCTGCCCTCCATAGATGAATCTAATCCCATATATTACAATAAACTGCATTTGCCTCTCCCCATCGCCCCCGCCCTCCCCCACCCTGGGCCAGCAGTCCCCACATCCTCGTCCCCTGGTGGTGGCAGGTGCCCCTCCTCAAGCAGTGCCACATCCTGTCAGCAGCCAGCTGTCCTGGCACTGGCCTGAGGGCTGGGAGACGCAGAGGGCAGGGCTGTGTGGCTACTCCAGGTAGATATCTTCCGTGGGGCACGCGTACTCCACAAACTGCTTGTAGAACTGCTGGAATGCTCTCCTAGAAGCCAGGGACACACAGGTGGCTCGGATTGCCACTGGCCAGGGAGGAACAGGATCTCCACCCAGGGCTTTCCCATTGGAGCCCGGGGCCACTTGGCTCCGTTCTCTATGGACTTGCCATTGCATTTCCCAGTAAGATGCCAGTTGAAGAAATGGCCCAGCAGCTATCAAGCTTAGAAGCTGCTCCTCAGGCCCGCCCTGCCACCCTCCCTCCAGGCCACTGCACTGGGAGCTGGTGATGGTTCTCCAGAGCTGCGGGGGAAACCGAGGAAGCAGCCCCAGGGCCTGGGATTGGGCATGCTCCCTCGGGCTGTGTGCTCGGCAGGACGCACACCTACCCCACGGACTCTGCCAGGGCTTTGGTGGAATCCTCAGACACAAAGACGTGGCAGGCAAACCGGTGGTCGGCAGGGTGCTTGGTGATGAACCCAAAGTACCTGCGGGGACAGGTCTGTGCTGGGATGTGGGGTGGGGCTGGCCCACAGCCACCCGATGGCTGCAGACCACCCATGCAGCCTCCACTGCTGTCCTATCCCCACTTACTTGTTGTTCTTTGGATGATATCCGCAGAAAGAGATGTTTTTTAACTGGAAAAAGTGGCTACATTTATTCCCCTACAGGAGGGAGAAAAGAAGCAAGAGGGCGGTCACCCGGCCTGCAGTGGGGCTCAGAGGAGATGGCCTCTTCATGGCAAGTCTTGGGGGAGAGCTGGGGGCCATGGAAGGAAGGGGCTGGGGTTGGGAGAAGTCACCTTGGCCTCCTGGGAGTCATCGGCCTTGACACCTATCTTCACGCCCCGCACGCTGATCTCCAGGACGCAGCTGGAGGGCGGGTTAAAGTGCACGGTGAGCCGGCGGGTGGTGGCAATCTGTAGGTGATGAACGGAGCCACATCAGCTGCTGTCTGTTCCTCTGCTGATCCCTCCTGTGCCAGGGCCTGAAGCCTGAGGCCTTTACTGCCTCTAGACACCTGTGTCCTTCTGCCCCAGGGACCCATCCAAGGGAAGGGAAAGGGCTCAGGTACCTTTTGCATAGCGGCACAGAGGACGTCATTGCCCTTGTGATAGGGAACCTGGACCGAGCCCAGGAATTTCACCCGGAACTGGTCCACCCAGTCGCTGTTTTTGGCCAGGGCTGGAAAGCAAGCATGAAGTGAGGAGGAGCAGAACCAGCAGGAGGGGGCTGAGCAGCCAAGCCCAGGAGGGTGGGTGAGGCATGGGGAACAGCAGAACGCAGAGGCTGCCATAATCCCCAGCTGCCCAGCTTGGCTGGGCCTCACTTTGCTCGATCGTGAAAAGGACCCGAAATCACCTCCACTCAGCCCCCCGCCCGGCTGGCTGAGATCTGGAGCACACATTCACCCACAGCGAGTCGGGACAGGCAGATGTGGGGGCTGGGGCACAGGCCAGGGAGGGAACCCTACCTGCCATGTGCTCGGGCTCCTTGGTGACCTCGATGGCGTAGTAGGCGGGAAAGACGCCCCGGGCACCAGTGCGCATGTTGTAGGCCTCGTACCAGTAGTCTTCAGCCTGGAGCTCCACCAGCAGAGGGTCATCCACTTCTAGCTCAAGTTCGTCTTCGTGTCGAGGCACAAACCTGTCCCCAGCAAGGACATGTGAGAAATTCGGCAGCAGGGCCTTTCCAGACAGGCCTGCTCTGGGGTCTGGAAGCCACAGCAGCGGCGTTAATTCAGTAAACATTTGCAAAAGCATCCTGTGTGCCTGTCCCAGTAATCACCCCAGGGGAGAGCAAGGTCAAGCAGATATGCATCTGCCGTGGAGGAAAGCACAGGCCAAGGGAGGGTGCGGGGAGACCCCCACTGAAATGGAGAGGTCGTGCGAAGCACAGGCTTTCGTCTGGAGAAGGGTCAGGTGGGGTGGGGGCAGGCAGCCTCCTGGGCACCCCGGCCAGACTAGGTGAGCAGTCCTGAGATCCCTCACTCTAGCCATCTACTTTGTCACCGTACTCTGAGTCCCTAGAAAGTGGACACTATCACCCCAGGGCTGAGTGGATTGGTGCATGCTCATGGCACGGGTTAGGCTGAGGCCATGTAGGGGTGACAAGCGGAGGGTGCTGTGTGGCCCAAACTGCTGCCTGGCCAGGCCCAGGCAGTCCATGGCTCTCACCTGAATATGGCCCGGTGGGTCTGCTCCTGCTCCTCCCCGTTGATGACGCAGGAGAACAGCCCAAAGGACTCGGCACCTGCAGGTGAGGGGGTGTGGCTTGAAGAGGGGGTCGCAGCTCTGATCCAGTATAGCGGTAGAAGCCTCAGTCCTAACCAGATGGGGCCTGGGGCCACCTCCCAGAACACTCTGCATTTTGGCTCTGTCCCCCTCCCCAGAGACCCCCCCCCCAACTGCTTTCTCCTGCTTACTCACTGGAGGAGCGGGAGCGGCCACTCATGAAGACGTTCAGGAACTTCTTGGAGAAATGGACGTCGGGTTCGTCAGGCGTGGAGTCCTCGGAGAGGCAGGCAGGGGGCTGGGGCCTGGGGGCCTCCTCATATTCCTCTCCGATAGCCGACTCATAGGGCGAGGAGGCGGAGGCACAGTTGTCGTAGACGGTGGCCGAGTCACTCTCATCGCTGTAGTCTCCGAAGCACGGTCGCAGGCTTACCAGCTCCAGCTGCGCGTGCTCATCCACCACCAGCGTGTACTTGACCGAGTCATAGGACAGAGCGCTGGTGTCCGAGCTCAGAGAGGCCCGTGGAGGTGGCGGTGGCTCCCCCAGGCTCCCCCGCCACCCTCCGCCTGGGGGCTCAGCCCGCTCTGGGGATGACAGGCAGTCGAAGCCCTCTTCCTCTTCACTGATGGAGGGGTGCGGCTGCCCTGCGGTGGAGGGGTACGCGCCAGGGTCTGGATCGGAGCTGACTGACATCCGGCTCTCAGTGGGCGGCAGGAAGGCAGAGGTGGGCTCTACAGGGTCTGGGGGTCTCTGCACTGGGGTCAGGTAGATCTCCTCAGTGGCCTCTAGTCGCACATCGGCCTGGTAGTGGATTCGGTCTCGATGCGAGTGGCCCCGACCCCCAGGTGGGGCAGCAGGAGGACCACCCGGAGGTGCCATCTGGGTGGCTGTGCTGCGGCGGCAAGGGCTGTCGGTGGAGGTGCCTCGATCCGTGGTGGGAGCGGGGCTGCTCGGGGGGGGCAGCTCATCGCTCAGGCAGATGTGTTCATGCGGTGGTGTCTGCTCCCCTGGAGAGCAAGCAGGTCATGAAGAAGGGAGCCCTTACCCAACTCCCGACTACCTGCGCCTGCCACTCTCAGCTTGGTGACACAGGAACCAAGACAAAGCCTCCCTGCGTGACAGGCCCTTCGCAGGCTCTGGGGGCCGGTCAACTCACTCATGCCACCACTGATCTAGCCCCCGATGGGCTTGTGCAGGGATGTGGGATGGGCAGTTTACCTCTTCTCTGCCCACTGGAGACTGTGGGGTTTGTTCTCTGCAGTGGAGACTGAGTCAGGGCAGGCTGAGGTCCAGGTAAGGAAGAGAGCCCTGACTTACCTGTCTTCAGGGGTGAGGATGATCGAGACACCCGATCCTGCCAACTGTGCTTTTTGCCCAGAGAATTATTATTCAGTGTGTCCTGTGCGGGGAACAAAAGGCTCTTGTGATGGAAGTGGTCAGCACTGCCCGGCACAGGGAGGCCCCGGCCCTGCCCCCTCAGGCCATCCCTAGGGCGTCTGCTATGCCCACCCCGCCTCCACTGTCAAAGGCCTCACTCCCAACTCTCCCCTGGAGCAGGCAGGATGGGTGGCAAGTCACAGCCAGGCCTGCTGGCTCCGGATGGCCCTCCACCTTGCTCAGGGAAGCTGGCCAACCCTCAGGGAGATGTTCTTATCAGCCTTAACAAAGGTGACGATGGCCTGTGTGTGTGGTGGCAAGAGGGGGAGACTGTAGCGGGGAGAAGAGAAGTGGGAGCTCTTTGGAGACACAGTCAGTCCCCCAGTCCCAGACACTGAGGGTTACTTGGCAAATGCTCAAATCCAGCCCAAGTCAGAGACAGGTAATTCTCTGCTCTGGAGCTTTCGAAGTTATGGCCTAGAAGGGGTGGGGACCTGGAAAAAGCACAAGGAAGGGTCTCCCCAGCAGCTGGCCTAGGGGACCGGGATGAATCATCCAGTGACAAATCCATAACAGAGTTTTCCTGCACCCCCCGCCACAGTGGCATGTGACTGAGGAGTGACAGAGGCAGTTGTCAGCAGCCCTCTTTCCTGGATCTCTTGGGCTGCCCATTCCACATT